TGGCCACGATAATTGTCCAATTACGAGATATAAAATATCGTCTGGTAGGGCTAATACATGTAGTGTTGAGTCAGTGGAGCCATTGGAGCCTTGCGTCGTCTGTGTCGGTATTCCGGGCGCAGATTTCAGATTGTCGCGAATCTTGTACTTCTGTTAAGTTTATGGAGTCAATCTCCTGACCATATAATGTTTTGTGACCATAGCAGTGGTCTTGACGAAGGGATTGCTCCCAACGCACCTTGGATATCGCGGACATGTACCGTTCGGCAAGATAAGCTCTTTGGTGAAAAAAGAGATGAGGGGAACTCCAAAGAGCACAGAAGAAATATTTCTTCTGCGCTGTTGACAGTCTTGTATATGTTCTCGAGTATGGACTGTCAGAGGCGGGAGCCAACTTGTGCCTAAAGCGGTTTGGCACTCTCGGAGTGGTTCAGAGAACGGTCATCCTCCAGCCTGAGCCGCCCCTATATCTGCCCGTGCGTGGCGTCTTAGATTCACCCTGATCTTTTCAAAATGCTTTGTTTGTGCTATCTCAATCTACGATTGGCTAGGTAATCATGAAAGGCTATGGCTGCCCTCTATACATGGTAACGATCGACAAGACTTGCGCTGACATCTCACCCGGTGGACGAGTAAGCATTGGTGCCACAAACCTGGTCTAAGCCAATAAGATCGTGGACCGCAGGTCCTCTATGGCGAATTGTTCGGCAGTCATTGTAAGATAGTCGCGTAAAGGGGGCAGCTGGACAAACGGACACGTTTGGTGGCTAACGACTTCTGGATCCTTTTCGAATGCGAATTCTCCGCTTCTGTCATGAGCTTGAACGGTCTCGGCGGTCGTTCAGCTCCGAACTAAATCGGCCATCGATGCCTTTACTGCCCTTCGAGAACGACCATTGCGACCACCAGACCGGCGTCATGAGATATGCTCAAGTGAGACCGCATGAATGAGAGCGTCGAATCGTGGACGGTGACGTTCATAGACTTGGTGAAAACGACTTCCAGTTTGGGAGTGGCGTTTCCTGACCGATCGTCGATTTTGATTTGGAGAGGTTTGAGTTCGACGTCTTTCCAACTGAGTTTACGATATGGATACATAGCCTTGTAGATAGCCTCTTTAGCAGCCCATCTATTGGGACAATAGTTGTCAGAAAAAGGGGAGAACAGGGACTCGATCGTGGCGCACCGTACTCCCAGATACTGTGCCAATTTGTCCTTCTTGTGTGTATCCCACCGGTGTTCATCCCTCAACTCGTGCAGGAACTGGGCGTTCTGCGACTCTGTGGTGGTTGGATCTGCACCGAGCGATGTCGGCGCTCCTAGAGATTTCTTGAGCAGTAAAATTTCATCAGAAGTGAGAATGCGCGTCGCCAGTCGAGTCAATCTCCTGATTGGGAACGCGCCCAGGCGGGCGAGGCTAACTATGTCGGTCCCTATGCCAATAATCATCATTCATCAGACAAGGTACTCGGAAGTTGTCCACATTCGTTCAAGTATCTTAACGGGCGCTGCCGAGTGAATGCGCGATAGAGGACGTGGATGTAGTTGACTTCCAATCTCGTTCTCCATCCCGAACGTCTCACCCCACAAAATGAATGCGTGTTCATGGGGTCAAAACTTTGCAAAAATGACTCGAAGATTTTATTCACCGTCTCAGACAACATTGGGGAGATACCGACTATGCGCGTCTTCCAGGTCAAAGCGAAATGCAATTGCAAATTTCAGCAGCTTTGCTACCCCCAATGGTCATCACCTAACATGCAAAAAGGCTCTCAAATCACGTTTTATTGCATTTTCTACCTCTTCTTCGGCGCTAAAGAACTCTTCTACCTCCTCCTCAAACGTATCTAGTTCAGCTGATACTTCGTCATCTTCGAAGGCCAGATATGACGCGCTCAAGGCACAACATAGTGGCACCGAATCATTGTTGAACACCCATATGAACCGTGCTGCTCAGTCTAGAGCGACTGCTGGACGACCTGGTTCTGATGGAGTCTTCTACCTGGGAATACGGCCAGGTGACCAGGAGTTGCCAAAAGGATATAAAAAGTGGAAGGAACTAGGAGTTGGTGGAAAAGGTTCGCTTTTTCCTTCATTGGGTGCAGAAGCGACTGGCTGACTCTTGTCCTGTGGCAAACGCGACATCATCATTCTCAATCTGACTTCGGAACATGACCAACGTGTCTGACATCAAAAAATGAACCCATTCATATCAATGACAACATTCATATGCGAATATAATACATCTCCGACGATTTACGATCGTGAAATACTCTTGACCACCACAAAGTGGCTAGAACCGGAGCCATAGCAACGAGTTCTGTAGTTATTATAGCAGGAGCCGCCTTGACTGCGTTATTAGTGTACGCCTTGGCCACAGAGCTTGGCAGTAGTGTGAGTCTCTCTCTCCAGCTGGATTGGCACTCACGAGCTGTCATTACTGATAAATACACCTTTATGTATCTTAATGGGGTCAAATTTATCATGTTTAACATCGCTCCTTGCGTGAATAATGGCCTTCATACACTCGCCCATGTCGGACGACCTCCAGAACTCGCCTACAGTGATCTACGCCGACGTATGTGAAATGATCAAGGAAG